TGTGGAGAAGAAGGAGCAGGGAGCACATCCCATATCAGCCTGCAGTGAGGAAGGTGGCCGTGGCTGGGGGATGGAGGAGCATGGAATCTCACAGAGGTTTGCTTTGCTAAGGGCACGAAACCGTTCCAAGGATCTGAACTTAGGGAAGGTCTCCCTCCTATCAGCACCATTTGGCAATGAACATGAATATGGTAGGTGAATCCAGAGCAAGGAAAAACGGAAGGAAAAAGATGGGATTTTCCCAAGTTCACTGAAGAACCCAGAGCTTCTTTACAATAGCCATAAACCACTACAAGCCTTGCTGCACAGCAAGTGCAGTGGGGAAGGATGAAGAGCCACTGGATGCACATGGAGAACCTTAACTTCAGGACAAGGCAGAGGCTCTGCTGGAGAGGCAGATGATTGCAACCTGGCTCAGGCATTGCTTCCAGTCCTCCAAATCTCATCATCCCACCGGACTTTGGGACAACAGAGGACCCTTTTCCCCAGAGGCCCACAGTGAATGCCACCTTTGTGCACAAACCATGAGGCTGCATGCAGCTTGCCATGCTCCACAACCAAGACAGGATGCTCAGGTCACTCAGTGAGCCACTGACCTGAAGTGAGTCACCTCCCCAAAACCAAAGTTATGCTGGAAACTAGATGAGAGGATGGGCAGCAAAACTTGCTTTCCATTGCTGGGTCACCATCAGAGGAACATCGGACACATCTCATTTCTCCGTGCTGCTGTAGCTGGGATATTCCAAGGCAACAGCCCTGCCACTTGGCTGGGTACCGAGTGTTTTCATGCCTTCGTAGACAGCCATGGAGCACAGTCTGCTATGGAAAACACTCCTGTGCTATTTATGAGTGTCTTGTGCTCAGTGAGGAGTAGAAGGCTGCGGTGATGCTTAAAACGTGGCGTTTTGTGGCAGCAAGGACTTCTCAGAAGGCCGTGATCAGTCGCGTTTTTCCAATGGGATTAGGAAATAGAATGTTTGCTCTGTCTGAGAAGGAATAGGAGCTCGGGCAAAACTGCTAAACATGAAAGTTCCTGGACATCTGGAAGGGATTAGTCAGGAAGGTGCCTGGGACAAGGAGTTCAGGCGGGTTCAAGAGACACCTACTGTAGACTTGCTTCCACGGAAGGAGGGAGGAGGAGGGATAGGGTTGGGGGGAAAAGCAGGAAGGGAGGATTGAAATGAAACCTATGCAGGACCGGCTGATAGGGCGAGTGGTGAGAGCAGGCTCTGCTCTGTGGAAGCACAAAGTGCAGAGCAGGAAGCCCTAAAGGGTCTGCTGCAATAGAAGGGGCTGGGGTGGCAACAAAGGACAAACCACAGCAATAAAGAGCTGGCCAGAGCAATGCTTGTGCCCACCTCTGTGAGGGCAAACAGCTCCCATGCTGAGCATATGGGAAAGCACAACCCTGCTGCTCAGGCAGATGTGCCCCATGCACACATCCACAGGGTTAGATTTTGCCCCCCTTGGCACTCATCAGCAACCCAACAGGGCAAGTGTTGTGATGAAGTCAAGAGCACTGGAGAAACACTGGAGCGTAGGCAGCCGGGCACTAGGAACAGAGCTGCACATCCAAGTACTGGGAGCAGAGCTGCACATCCAAGTACTGGGAGCAGAGCTGCACATCCAAGTACTGGGAACAGAGCTGCACATCCAAGTGCTGGGTTTCTCTCAGAGCGGAAAAGTGCTTGCTCAACCTCTTGGGCCCTGCAAAATCACAAAGGAGCTCTGCTGCAGGCCAAGATGAAAGTCACAAAGAAGAAGGCTGAAAACCACAGGGCCTTGTAAAGCCCACGCTTGGTTTAGGAACCGACTGATTCATGATGCTTTTTATCGCATATTTCTGCCTTTGATTCACTTTACACTTCAATTCAGGTGCCAAATCCTTTGTGTTTTTCCCAACTGTGGACCCTTGTAGTAAGTTCAAGTTTGGAATCTGGGATCCAGGAGCTTGTACTGAAGCAAAGCTTTTGGGTTTCAAAAGTCTGGAGTCCTCATTCCTGACGCAGAACGGAGCAGAAACCACTGCACCAGAAGCTGACTTCCACCCTAGATGAGGAAACAAACTAAGCAGATAGAAGTCAGATGCTCTCTATAAATGTTTGCCAGTGTTCCAATTCAGGAACTGGTTTCAGTTTTTGCTTTCCCTACCAGTGAGGAATAACTGTGTTCAAATTAAGGCAGCAGGAGGTAAAGCTGGAAATCAAAGCGCGAGCTTTGTGTTTCCTGACCATTTTACTTTAACAAGGTAGCTCCAGCTGCTCACTCGGGTTTACTGCATTCCTGAAAGACAGATCTCTGGGCATGCATACTTTAAGAGCCCTGCTCCCCAAAGAAAGGCACTCAGGTTTATCCTTATGGTTCGGTGTATTTTACCAGGGCACCCAACTGCCTGCCAAGCAGATGCTGCTGCTTTTTCACTCTCCTCCCTCCACTCCCTACCCACATAGGCACTGAAACCCTTTGCTGGTGACAGCAGACATGGCTTGCTAATAGTGAACCACGAGACAGCTCAGCCTTGAACTGCAGAAGCAAACTGAGAGTGAGCCAGAGACCTTTGGGATGAGGGAGAAACGTGGGGAAGAGCAGTGCCCACTGCAGGCAGCCTGCCCTGCCTCCCCAGAATTTCCAGGTTGGAAAAGACCTTTAAGATCATCGAGTCCAACCCTTCCCCAGCACTGCCAAGGGCACCACTGAACCACGGCACTGAGGGCCTCGTCTACATGGGTTTTGAATGCTTCCAGAGATGGTGACTCCATCACTTGGGGTCCCAGGCTGGGATGGCACCACTCATTGCTATCCCATGCAGGTACCTAACTTGGCCATGCAGGCTCACAGGCATCAGAGGAGGAGGAGCAGCCTTCCCACTCGAGTGCTCTCAAGTTAAGTGCTTCAAGCCTGAATGCCCACCCTGGCAGCCTTCATGGAGGGAACATCTGACCCCACAGAGATTCCCTGGTGAATGCTAGCTGCAGGGAGTCTCATACCCACAAGGAACCACATTCTTGTTAGCAACTGGGGACCTTGGCAGCCATCCTGAGCTGTAACATCCAGATCTTGAAGTGGAACAAACCCACAGTTGTCTCCAATTAGAGTGCTCTGATGCTGAGGTTCAGTTGTACTCTTCCAGAACACTGCAGACAAATGCAACTGATGACATGGCCCACCAGCCAGAAACAGTTCAGAGCCATTAATCATAGCGAGACTTCAGTGAGCACATCCTTCAACCCATTTCAGTCACTCACTCAGGTCATGGCCACTTTTAATTCAGAAACCCTTCTCAGCACTTTTAGCAGGGCTGTTGTTAGCCCACAGCCAGACATCAGTGGGACAAACATCTGGGAGAAGCAGAAGGGCCACCACTGAACTCCTGTGAAGACCTTCCAAAATTGAAATCCATTTGTTCTTTATGCAGCTGTACTGAAGACCGACTGACAGAAGAGAGGGGTGTTGAAGGGCTGTATAGTGTGTGCACATGTAAACACGACTCTGCATCCTTGAACACCACCCTTTATTGCTTTATGATGTTGACTCGGCAAGGCCTGAGAAGGATGACACCGCAGGGTTCACCCTGCAGTCATCCTGGAGAAGGAAAAGGCACTGAAAAGACCTTAGAGCAGCTCCCAGTGCCTAAAGGGGCTACAGAAACCTGGAGAGAGGCTTGGGACAAGGGCCTATAGGGACAGGCCAAGGGGAATGGCTTGAACCTGCCCGAGGGGAGACTGAGCTGAGCTCTTAGGCAGAAGCTCTTCCCTGTGAGGGTGCTGAGGCGCTGGCACAGGGTGCCCAGAGAAGCTGTGGCTGCCCCATCCCTGGCAGTGCTCAAGGCCAGGTTGGACACAGAGGCTTGGAGCAAGCTGCTCCAGTGGAAGGGGCTGGAGCTGGGTGAGCTTTAAGGTCTCTTCCAACACAAACCAGACTGGGATTCTGTGCTCTGCCTCCGCACTCTTCAAGCCACATTTCATGAACATAAGGCTATACAGGCACTGTCAGCTGGATTTCAGCCTGGTGGCCTCTGCAGCCACCGGCCCTCAGCTGTCAGAGATAGCCTGGAGGGCACCTACATAAACCTACTGTGATCTGTGTCATCCAAGGCATATATTGACCCCTTCCTTAACATCAGAAGTCAGTGACATCCCTAGGGAAGGCACAGGGGTTGAACACCAGCAGCAAGCAATGCCTAAGGAATTTTACCTGTGCTGCTTCATTGACTGGAACTGAAACATGGGATGTGACTCCCTAGAGCTGGGAGTTTATGACTGCAATCAAAGCCCTGGAAAAGGAAATTAGATGAAACTGCTCACTCTGCTGTGGACAGGAAAATAAATGCCTTACACTGAACTAGTTCTGTGATGCAACCCAGGGCATCAGCAGCACGCTGACACAATGAGTCAGTGACAGGTCACGGTGAGACAAAGGCACTCAAGAAGGAGGGGAAGTGCTTTGCATGCAGAAGTGTCTGCAGCAAGACTGCTGTACAGCCGTTTGCTAAACAAAGCTGCATTCTCGGCCAGTCTGCCAAACCAGTATCTTGAGTGCATCATCTGCTTCATCTCAAGCTGAAGCAGCAGGAGGGGGACTCCACGTCTCACTTCCCCGGGAAGGGGATGGCCAAGTGAGCAGGTCAGGACAGCGCTGCATTACTCACGTTATTTCCCTCTGCAATTGGAACTGTGTATAAAGCATCATCCCAGGAAGATCTTTTGACAGGAGGGGGGACGCCCAGCCCCAGCCCCAGCCCCAGCCCCGCACAGCCACCAGGGCCCCCAGTGCTGCTCTCTGCAGGTCGAGCAGTGCCCTCAGGTGGTCACATTCCCGGCTCCAAGAGCCACTTCATCATCAAACCAAGGAGCAGAGCACAGCTCCACCCTGTCCAAGCACCATTCTTTATTTGGCCTTCTCTGAGAACTCGGGTGTCTGCACACCTCCAGCATTACAAACATTCAAGCTCCTTCCTTGTCAATCCATGTGCAGGTGGGATGAAAGCAAACACACTGCTCAGAAGCACAAGGTACAAAGAGGGTTTAAGCCCTGATTTGACACCTTATTTATTTGTAAGGGCAGCACCTAAACATCTTTCTTATATGCTATCAGAACATTATGTTACGCCCATTTACTGGCAGATATCAAGTCCATTTCCACTAGAAAACAGAACAGCCCAAGCATCTCCTGCTCAGGCCAAGTCCTCAGCTCATTCAGCCTTCAAAAAGCACCAGTGAAGCTTCCTCAGTTCATCCTCCTCCTCTTCGAGGCCATCTTGGAGCACACCAGACTGTCACAGAAGCTGGTCCACATCAGCCCCTCCTGTTCTCTGTCAGGAGCCTGCTGAGCTGCACAGCTCTCGCTGGTTGTCCACAAACAGGGAGACCTTCAGAAGAGTATCTGAGGTGGAAGGAAGACAACAACCCCGTTAGCTTAATGCACTTTGTATTCTGTACACACAAAAATCAACCCTGTAATAAAGTAATAAAGAAAAGTTTAAGGACAACTAACTTAGCAGACCAAGTGTAATGGCTCTCCAAACCCCTTGTTTTACTTCAAGGAAGGGCATCACTTCCCATTGAGCCAGCGTGTGATGGTATTTACAGCTGAAGCTGTTCATGGTCGCAAAGCCCAACTGCAAACCAAGCGAGGCCACCCACTGCCACCCATACCAAGACCAACACACAGTGCAAGGCCTGCGTGTGACCTCCAGGGCTGAGGCATCACCATGGAGCGCAAGGAAGGGTCCCTTGGGCTGCTGAAAGTGGAACCACCTTGAACAACATCTCCCTTGTAGCGCTCCAGAATCTTCTCCCAGGACTGCGGGAGGGTCTCCATGTCTGCCAGGCTGTCACAGCTGATGTGGAGGAGGAAAAGCTGGATCTCCAGGTACCTTCACGCCCGGTAAGGACAAGAAAGAGGCAGAGGAACCCAACAAGGATGGGAAGAGGACACCGCCACCCACCAGCGCTGCCCGCGGAGCCGCACCGCTGAAGGATACAGGTGCCGGTAGTGGCGCTCCACGTCCTGCAGCCCCTCCAGCGCGTCGGCCAGCGATGGGCAGCGCGGCCCCCTCCGCAGGGCCAACTCCAGGCCCAGCTCCGCCGCCCGCTCCTCGTACAGCCGCAGCACGGCGGCCACAGCGGCCCCCACCGCGTCCCGCACGGCCCGCAGCTCCGTCCTGCGCGGCAAAGCGGGCTGCGCTCAGCCGCGGCCCCGCACTCCCCATCCAGTCCGGCCCGGCCCGGCCCCGCCGCCTCACCTTCGGCTGCTGAGCTGCTCCAGCAGGGCCTCGGCCGCGCCGCGCTGCTTCCGCCACAGCCGCTCCGGCAAGTCCCCGAAGGCACCGAGCGGGGAGGCGCCCCACGGCAGCCGCTTTGCCGCCCGCATCTGCGCCGCCAGCCCGGCCAGCGAGCCCAGCGGCGCCGCGCACCGGGCCAGGGCCTCCCGCCAGGCCGCGTCCTGCCGGGCCACGGCCGCCTCGCACGCCCCTAGCGCCGCCGCCATTGCCGACAGTGCCGCCGCCATGGCAACGCGACGGACCGGAAGCACCTTTTCGTCATCGCACCGCGCTGAGCTCTGATTGGGTGCATTTGAACGTGCGGCTGGCGGCAGTGCTCCGCATCCCGATCCCGATCCCGGTCTCGATCCCTGTTCCGGTTCTGGTCCCGTTCCCGTTCCCATTCCCATTCCCATGGCCCCCGCGAAGAAGAACCCCGGCGCGGTCTCGCGCCGCAGGAAGCTGGAGGCATTCCTGAAGGATTTCGACCGCGAGGGTAGGCCGCGGGGCCGGTTGGGGGGAGCGGGGCCGGTTGGGGGGAGCGGGGCCGGGGGTCAGCGGGCCCCGGGGCTGAGGCCGTGTGTGTGCTCCCCCGCAGTGGAGAACCGGCTGGCGCGGCTGGAAGCGAACGGGGAGCGCCTGGTGAAGGAGGTGGAGGACATGTACGACATGCACATCCTGCGGCTGCCCGTGGCCTTCCGCGAGATGAACTGGCTGGAGTTCTTCGGTACGGCCCGGGGCAGGGGGATCCGGGCTGGCGGGGCGCGGTTTGCCTTTGTTACTAAAACCAACGGCAATAACGGAGCCGCCGGGAACCATTCTGCCCCCCTCACCCTTCCCCAACAAGCGACCTGCGGGAGCGCTGAGCTCTTTAAAGTCATGGAGTCAACTGGGTTGGAAAAGAGCTTTAAGCTCATCCAGTGCAACCCTTCCCCAGCATTGCTGAGGCCACCACTTAACCCATGGCACTGAAGGCCTCGTCTGTAGGATCATAGAATAGTTCGGGTTGCAAAAGGACCTTAAGGTCATCAAGTTCCAACCCCCCTGCCATGGGCAGAGACACCTCACACTAAACCATCTCACCCAAGGCCTCGTCCAACCTGGCCTTGAACACTGCCAGGGATGGAGCATTCACAACCTCCCTGGGCAACCCATTCCAGTGCCTCACCACCCTAACAGGAAAGAACTGCCTTATATCCATTCTAAAAATATATCCATATATATCAATATATCTTGTTTATATCTGATCTGCCTTATATCCAGTCTATGCGCTTTGCGATTCCAGCACTGCCCAGCTCCCTCGCTGGCCCCAAACTGGTTTTTGCTGGTTTTCTGCACCCTAGTGGTAATTTACTAAAGTATATCTGTGTATGCTGTACAGGCCTATGGCTTTTATATGGCTTCCTTTTCTAATAAATCTTTTCTTTTTAGCTAAAGCAGGATGCAAGAAGCTGTTGGAAAAGACAGCAGTGGTAGGTTTCTAGCATAAATCTTTAGCTTTTCTGATATTGTGGGCATACTACTGTGGGCAGGGAAGGGTTTCTTGAGTCTGTTGGGGTGTTGCTATAGCAGAGAATACACAAATACTTCCCTCAGTGTTGCTGAAGCCTAACAGTCTGCTATATGCAGTATGGGATTTGTATGCTCATGCTGCTCCATGTGCCTCTTCCCTTACCTGCTTGGTTTCACTCCCAGATCCCTGACAGCACACACACTTTTCAATCAATGAAAGCATTCCTAAGCTGGTTGGGCAGCAGGGTGCACCCTTGTACCACGCTTATGTTCACGCCTTCACACAGGTGAAGCACACCTGTAGCATAAGTGTATTAGTCTTGCATGGCATGCAGATGTGTGTCACTATCACCTCCAGAATAACTGGGGAAAATCCCAGTTTAAAGCACAACAGAAAGCACAAAGGTATTCTTGCTGCCTGTCAGAACTATATCCTACTGAGAACCCTAATGGTGTTGTGACTGGTTTTAATTGTAGTCAGACTTGGAAATACCAGAAATAAACAAGCTGGCAGCAGAAGTTTGCCGTACTCCTTTCAAGGTCACCAAACAAGGTGAGTTTGCTCTAAACATTGTGGTGAGTGCAGTGAGATGGAGGCATGTCAAGGTTTACAGACTATGAGTAACAGCCCCGTTCTTACTTATGTTCTCCAGTATATTTAAAATCATGCAGACAGTCTTAGTTTTCTCCCTACTATCTGCAGGACCTCTGCTTAATTCTATTAAAACATTCAAAATAGTGCTCTGTCAATCATCTGGGTGACACTGGGATTTGGATTTTCAAGCTCAATTGTTGCTCAAAAAGCTTGTTGTTTGCTATTTACCTCCTTTGCTAACTAATAATTTCAAGTTACTATTTATTCTCAACTTGGGCAACACTTCCTAGGGGGAAAATTGCCACAGCATGTCGAAGCTATTCAAGAAGAAGCTGAGCCTCCTTTGCTTCCTCCAGCAAAGAAGGTAAAACATGAGAGCAAATGTCTTTCAGAGCCAGAAGCTAAAAGCATTAATACAACAACTGGAAAGGTAAATAGCTAGTTTTTGTGATACCTTTATTCCCAAAGTGTGAATTACTTACTGAGACAATGCCTATGACACTAGAGCTGGCTGGGGTACTTTGAACTGTAGAATCCTAGAATCCCAGGTTGGAAGGGACCTCAAGGATAATGTCCAACCTTTCTAGGCAAAGCATGGCTTAGACTTAGATGCCCCAGCACCCTGTCTAGCCAAAACTTAACAGTGTCCATTGTTGGTGAATCCCCACTTCTGGGGGACTTCAAAACATCTATTGCTTCCTTGAAAGTTGTAGCAATAGGGGAAGGTTACGGAAGCTTCTTTGGTGTTTGTTTGTGGACACTTGTGCCATGAACAGGAGCCTGTGGAGCCAAACAGTTTGTATGGAAGCCTCTGCTGATGTGGACTCAGTTGAGAGAGTGAAGTGACTAATTTGCTGTGTAATATGTGTTTCAGGTAAAGGCATCCACTAAAAAAGTGCCAGCATCCAGGAGCAGAAGAGCTACAAGAGAGGGGCGCACAAGCAAAAGGTAATAGAGGATATCTTTTGTGCTGGGTTTCAGAAATGGAGAGTAAGTGTATAGAGCTAACCCAACTCTGAAAAGGACTGGTTTAGTAGGGTGGCAGGTGTAGTTGTGCTATCCTATAGGAAAAAATGGGATTCAACAGTGAATGAAAGATGGGCAACTTTCTGTTCTGTGGTGAGCAGCTACCCCTAGCTTTGGGGTTTAACTTTGATTAACAAGAACCTCTGGTTTTCTGTGGTGACAACCTCATTCAAGTCTTTGGTAAGATAGCGCTTGCACACTTGTTAAAAAGATTCTTACAAGCAAATGTTTGGGGTTTTTTCTCCTTTAACAGATCAAGCAAAAACAATTTCATCACTCCAGCTACTGGCAGAAATGTTGGTCTCTGTGCTCCACATGGTTCCTCCATGATCACTCCCAAATTTGATCCCAGGTTTGCCTTCTGATGAATTTCTCTGTTAATCTCTTATGCTGTCATCTCCTGGCAATGTAATCCTTAGTGGCTCTTTGAACCTGAAATGAAAGACTTTGAGTCAAAGTGCTTTGAGCAACTGCAGTGCCCTTTCTTACCTCTAACTCTTTGTTTCAGCATCTTCAAGACACCGGGGTTGCGCGCACCCGTAGCACACGAACGCGTTTACACCGTCTCTGCCAATGGCAGCCCCCTTGCTGACATCAATGATATCTTCATCACAGTCCCTGTGGGAGGAGGGGAGGTAAATCACAAACTTGAATCTGCACTTGAATCAATGCTGAAGAGATAGCTTGTAACTTCTTTTTTGGGGGGGTGGGAAGTGGCCTTACCAGTTTCAGTTGATCCACTCTTGTTTGTTTAGTTGTGCCACTGCAGTTTATCAAGGGATGGATGTAACATAAGAAGAACCTTCAAAGACTTTTAAGAAGTCTGAGCTCTTCAAGCTGATCAAAATAGAATGTAGAATGATGGTTGCTCTTGTGTTTAAGTTGCATTTAAAGTAGCTTCTGCTGGCAGTCATATGTTAATGCACTGCAAGGAAGGTGAGATGAGCTTCTGGTCAAGCTTAATGTAGTCTCTGCCTGTACATGGTCTCCTGGTATGCTTGGGTTTTATTTACTTTTATTTTCTAATTGAATTTATTTACTGCTTCTGACTACTGCACCCTTCTATAGACAGAAAACTTAAGATGTGGCTGTTGTTTTCCACAGACCATTCGTTTAGCAGCAAATGATGTGACCAAGAATAATCTTCTTCATCTGAATGCAGAGGCCCAAGGATTTATGCAGAAGCTATCAGTAAGTCTATGTATTTTTGTCAGTCGTAGCCTGAAGTCACAAGGCAGTGTTGTCATTCTGGCATTAGTCACTGAACTCCTGAACTATAATAGGAGCTCCTTATTTTTCCCTGCCCTGCCTTGTATTTTGGCTCATAGCAGTAGCCAAGAAGCATGAACTGAGAAGGGGAGAGAATAGAGTAACTTTACATCAAATCTAGCTTAATACAAACTGAATAAACTATGTGCTTCTTGAAAAAGAGCTATTGTCAATGCTCTGGAAAAGCTGAATCAAACTGAAGGTGTCTTCTCCTTCAGGCAAAAGTCAATGGTTGTGGGGTATTGGTGTCTTAGAGCACTGATTCATTTCCTTTTCTTTCCAGGGTCGTCTGGCGCAAGCCTGCAGTGCTACAAAAACCCACAGATGAAACTCGGTGGATATTGACATACCTCTGTACATACAGAATGTACCTTTAGGACTGCTACCTTTAGTTCTCTCCTAATTGTGTCTTCCATTAATTTAGAGAAGGGAGGTTAACTAATTTTTTTACCTATAATATGTAATGGGATTAGAATAGATTTCATTCTTGTTTTTCAGGGCCAGGGAGGCAGATACTCTGTTTCCTATTTCCTTTAAGGTTTGAGACCAAGATACAGTTATCATGGGCTTGCAGACCAACAGCCTGAGCAGAAAAGCTGTTCTGGTATCTCACAGGAGACTTAAGCAGTGGACCCAAGTGACTGGGGAAAGAAAGCAATGGTTCAGATTTGAAGCACTTCCTTCCAGGCATGTCCTTTCTCTGCAGATGTGCTTACAAGCTGAGGCAAAAGGCAAATTACTGGTGCCTGGGGCTAAATGGAAAGATTCTTGTAGTTCATGATGCTTTTATTCTTTTGGTAGCCATTGCATTTTAACTGGCTTTGAGTTTTGTATAAAGAACTTGTG